CAAGCAGAGCTACACAGGCCAGAGGACAAAGTGCAGGCAGTAAGTCACTCAATACAAAAACACTTTGGCCTGACCTCCTAGCACTTGGCAGTCCTTACCTGAGAGTCTAACTTGCACCTTCAGTTAATCTGCTCTGAGGAATCCCAGGCTTAATTTCAGGATACAAACTCCTAACATTATAAAAACAAAGCTACAGTTCCAGCTATTTTAGCTGAATTAAGAGAATGAAATAAAAAAAGAAAATTAAAAAAGAAAGAAATACTTTAGCTTCTCTTAGGGTCAGACTGACCTTTGTGTTTACAAGTTTAATCAGTCTGAACCTAAGGCAGCTCTGTCCTGCCTTACTGCCCCCCATATAAGCAGTAGCATCAATCCCAAAGATCTTATCTTCCCAAACCTGGAATCTTACCTGGTAGTGAGGATTCCAATAGGTAAAAGGCATTAATAAATTTAATTCTGACTCTGTGGATCACCAGTACCCCTCTGCACATAATAATACAACTGCCCCAACCTACTGAGCTAAAACTGCAAATCCTCTTATACACCTTGGTGTAATCACTATGCAGGGGAACTGCAGCAACTCAGAGGATACAGAGGCCTCCCAGACACAGCCACTGACTGACTGCAGTTGCAGCCAATGCCAACTGCTTTTAAAGGAACTTTGCTAAGTTACCACCAACCAGAATATCATGGGAAGTCAGCAGGCACTTGGCTGCTGTTCAAGACCTTCAAAGTTTGATAAGGGTCAAGGGAAGCCTCATTAGTTATGGCGATAAATATTTCCAAGATAGCACGGTCCATTGCTGCAGTGCAGAAAGATACTTGAGAAAAAGGACAAGGCTGAAGCAATACTGTGGATCCCAAACACCAGCAGCTCCAGGAAAAGAAGGGATGGGAGGAGACCGGCGGTGCTGCCCTCTGCTGCCTGAGGGACCAGCCGAGGAGGAGGGTCTGCAGCAGCACTGCCCCCCAAGCCTGCACACTCTGCCCCTCTCCCCAGGCTGAGCATGGAAGTCACTCCTTTGAGAGCACAGGACTCTTTACAGTTTCACACAATAGCAGATCACCAACCTCATTTGAGTCTAGCACTTTCATTAGAAAAAAAAAACTAATGAAAGGTAGAAGACTCAAGTTTAGTCCAGCTCACATCAACCCATACCTTCTTGAAGAGGACAACTCCATCTTTGCTAAGCTGGTACTTGGAGAAGACATCAGCACTGGACGAGATCCCAAAGGGAATGTCATCAATGGATTCTGCTGCCAGCACAAACTCCTTGGCAGCATCTGATGCCAAATCCTGGAGAAGAAAGGTGTTTCACTGGGATACAACAAGCTGAAGTAAAAGCTCTGGCTTTACCAGCCAGAGAACTTGAAGATCAAGTAGAGCAGGACGGCAAGTGTTTCACAACCATGAGGAGCTGTCAGGTCACCATAGGGCAGAAAGCACAAAAGACACTAAACACATGCAGGGACCTAGCTGTAAGCAAAACACTACCTTAAAGAAGCCAATCACAGCCACTTCATTGGAATCCACTAACGTCTCTGCGGCAGCAGCGTCTGTGAGGGTCGTTGCAGCTGGACCGGTGCGTTTCTTCAGCCAGCTGACGATATCATCTGCCTCTCTGCCAGCTACACAAGGAAGATAAGAGCATTGATTCACTTTTGTATTCTTGAACTCTAGCAGGGAAAACACTTTGAGTTTCATGACTGTTCAGCAGCCAGCCTGGAAGCTGGAAAGAATGGGGACACCATTTACACAACTCTTCCTCTCACTCCTACTGTAATTAAGCTCACCATAAACATTAACTCAAGGTACAAGGGCTCTTAAAAACCCATTCTTTTCACTACTAGTACAGCCAGAGTACACTCTTAAACTTTGATCAGCACTATCAGCAATACCACTTCTGCAAGACACTGATAGCTGTCATGCAAATGCATCGCCTGCCCCTTTCAACCCAGTACTCTGCATCCTGCCCTCGGAGTCTGGCCACCGTGGCGGGGCTCAGCACGGCCTGGGTACACGTGTTCAGTATCGATCCTGATAACACCACCTTTGCCTTCAGGTCTCTCTTCACTACTCTACGTCATCACTCAAGTTCTCTCCTTCAGTTCCTGGTGTGATGTCACTGGAACAAAGTCAAGCAGCAAAAAAAAAAAAAGAAATGGAAGAGGGCTCATTTCCTACACAAGCACCTGTTTCAGCTGCTCGAGCCCCGGGAAGAAGCTCCAGGCTGGGAAGGCTGCTCCGCACAGCTGGGACCCTCAACATCTCCCACAGGACAGCCCCCCCACGCCACTAACCCAACAGGGGAGGGGGCCACAGGGCCGCGCCGGGGCGGCCTCGGAGCCCCCCCGCTCACCCGTGTACTCCTTGGGCGCGTCCTTGTCGCCGTTGCGGAAGAACTTGATGGTGGGGTATCCGCGCACGCCGAACTGCTGCGCCAGCTCCGACTCCTCCGTGGCGTCCACCTTGGCCAGGCGGATCTCGGAGCCCTCCTCGCGCAGCTTGGCCGCCGCCTTGGCGTACTCGGGTGCCAGGGCCTTGCAGTGCCCGCACCACGGCGCGTCTGCGGGAGGACGGGAGCTCCGGCTGCCGCCCGGCCGCGCCACCGGCCCGTTCCCCCATCCTCCCCGGCCCACCAGCCCCGCTCCCCGCGGCTCCCGGGCCCCCGCCCGCGCCCCCCGCCCGCGCGCACTCACAGAACTCCACGAGCAGGTAGCGGTGCGCGGCGAGCGCCTGCTCGAAGGAGGCGGCGCGCAGCACGAGCACGCCGTCCTCCTCGTCGGGCTGCGCGCGCCGCAGGGGCAGCAGGCAGAGCAGCGGCACGAGCGCGCGCAGCAGCCTCATGGCGCCGGGTCGGGGCTCGGGCCGCAGGCCGCGCCCGCCCCTCTTATAAACCCGCCTCCTCCCCGCCGCCGCCGCGCGCCATTGGCGGCGCCGCGCTGGCGTCGCCGCCGCCCGCCATTGGCTCGGCCCCGAGCCGCGGCCGCTTCCCGCTTCTTATTGGCTGATACGCGCGCTGCGCCCCCCGCCCGCCGCCGCTGGTTGGCTGAGGGCCTCGCTCTTCTCTTGCGCGCTGGGATTGGTCGCCTCCTGCTTCACGTCGCCCCCGATTGGCTGGTGCCGCCGCTCGCCCATTCCGCGGCCGCCGGCTCTCGAACGTGGCACTGGGGCGGCCCCGCAGGGCGGTGCTGCGCATGCGCAGCGCGCGCGCGGCAGCCCTGCGTGGTGCATTCTGATTGGACCGCGTCGCCAACCCGACCCGGAAGGGAAGGGAGGCGCCTTCCGGCGGCACGTCCCGCTGGAGGGAAAGGCGGGGCGCACGTGACGGCGGGCACGTCGCGGCGCGGGCAGGGCCGAGGGGCGGCAGCCGGGCCAGGCCGCCCCGCCGGGCGCCGCTCGTCCTGCGGCCGCCCCGCCCCGCCCCGCCGCGCCGCTCGCGGGCAGAGCGACCCGCTTCCCGCCCGGGGCAGGGCGGCTCCCCCGCGGCAGCCCCTGGCAGGAGCCCCGGGCTCCGGCCGCTCCGAGCCGCTCCGTGCTGGCGGGGCAGCCGGGCAGGGAGGGCCGCGCCAGCGGACGCGTCGCTGCCGCCACGGCCACGGCACGAGCGCTGTGCCGGGCCCGCCCTCGCTGCCGAGCGCAGCCGCCTCCCCCCTGCCGAGGCCGCGGGGCGGCTCGCGGCCGTTACAGCTGCTCCGTGGTTTGAGGTCAGCGTTGCCTCAACTTCCTTCGTGAACTGAAACAGAGAGTGAACGTGAAAAGAACTGTCCTGTATCACACCGAGTAGCCCCTGGTTGCGGTGCCACAAGCAGCACTTTGGGAAGAGTTAAGAGCAGGTCAAAGTTGTCCTCCGTGCCCTCCCAGGCATTGCACTTGTCACTGCCACCACCACAGGCACGATCTAACAGAAATACCAACGTCCAGAATTTGGAAAGTCTTGCCAAAGAGCTGAGCGTTGCGTCAGACAGGATCTAACCCTGACGCGAGCTACCCACAGAGCGACTGTTAGGGGCCAGAACAAGGAGGGCTTTTGTTCCTTTTATCAGCACCTTAGGGCTCGCCACTAACCGACAAGAGCGAGGCCGATTCCTGCCTGGTCTCTGCTCTCGCACCCTTTCACGTCCCAGCACCCCAGGAGGGATGCGGGACTTAGTGGCAAAGTTCAGGACAGGGAGGACGACACAAGCAGAAACACACCCCTGGGGAGCAGGTTAAATGGGGCTTGGGGCCCTTCTCTGGCTGCTCTCCCATGTACGGAGGGAGCTCCCACCCTGCTACCGAAATGTCGCTCTCGCCCTTGCGCTTTCTGGTGGTTTCTGCAGGTCGCACCGTCCCCTCTCGCTGCAGCACCTGGTGAGCGCGGCAGTTTTCCCGGCGGCGAGGCGGAGGCCGTGGCTGTGGGTGCCAGGGCTGCCCCGCTGCAGCTGGCAGCACCTCTGCAGAGCGGCCGCCGCTGCAGGTGTTTCAGCTTCGCCAACCCCACAGATTCTGTTAAGAGTTTTCCACAGCTACAGTTAAGTTTCTTATCCCTAGAACAAATGTGCCGCGTGCTCTGTAAACATCCGCAGGCTCTTATCACACATCACCTCTCCTAAATTCCATTCTGCCTCCTGTTGCCTTCTTTTATTGTTCCCAAGCACAGAGTAATCGCAGTTAGAGCTCATGTGCTGGAGGAGGCACCGCAGCAGTGCTGCCAAGCCACCCGCGTCGAGGCAGCACCTCGTCCCCACCTTCCCTCTCTGCGACTCATCCTGTGTCCTCGCTCCCCTCAGCCCTCGCACTCTGCCCCTTCCTAGGGCAGAGCCGGCAGCGGGAGCAGCTCCTCCGGCAAGCCCTCAGGGGCAGCGACAGGCGCCGCAGCAGGGGCCTCTTGCCTTTCTCCCGCTGGCCAAGGCCTCCCCAGCCCCTGTTGCCCTGCAGGATTCTGGTGCTCTCACCCCAGTGCTCGCATAGATCGCTTGCTGGCATCTCCTGCTGAGACCAGAACGGATAGCAGACAGTCAGTTCAAAGTTTTTATTTAACTGTCATAAAAGGAGAAGCAGACGATGATTCCAAACCTGTTAACCTGGGTCTAGGATTTACAGACAATATGCACCAAATCAAATTAACAAAAAAATCTCTCTAGGGGCAGGGCAGGAAGAGTTAGAGGCAGAGACGTAGCTACGAGAAAACCACATGTACTTGGTCCCGGTTCTAGTACAACCTCAGTGTGGGAGGATCCGAATAAGGGGCTGCAACGCTGGACCCTGCCTGCCCCGTCGCCGGGGCTGCCGTGTCCGTGCGGCCTTGGGAGCAGGCTGGAGCGCTGCGCGGGTCTGCTCTGGGCACGCAGAGGAGTCGTCTAGTGTCAAGGCAATAAATACTGACAGGCCAGGCACAGATGTCGAAGGCAGAACGGATACGTAAGGCATTAACCGCTCTTGGGTGTTTGTCCACGGCACCAGCACTGCCGCGCGAACAGAGCAGCCCGGTGTGGGCAGGGGCTGCCCGGTGTCTGAGCCCTGCGGCTACGCAGGCTGCCCCACGGCTATGCAGGCTGCCTGGTGTCTCAGTGCCCTGCAGCTACACGGGCTGCCCTGGTGTCTCAGTGCCCTGCATCTACACAGGCTGCCGCGAGGAGCCTGCGGCAGCACTGGGGACTCCCACAGTGCCCTGCCCTGCTCCGCTCCGAGCCTGGGAGTGCCGGGGCTGCCCAGGGAGGTCAGAGCTCTGCGTGGACGGGCTGGGCCCTGCAGGGCTGGTGGGGGCACCCCCAGGATGGCACCGCTCCCTCCCTTGGACATGTCCAGTCTCAGAGAAGAGCGGACGAGCAGCGAAGCGGGAAGCCGTGAATCATTCCTGCTAACCCACGAGGGACGGCCGAGTGCCAGGCCAACAGACACGGGGCGGGCGGGGGGCGCTTAAGAAGTGTAACAAGGGCAGGGCCCCCTCCCTAGAGGGCACATGTTACACATTAAGGCATCATGGTTACGGGGAACATCCACGAATGAAACTGCCAGTGTTCCCAGGACACTGGCTGGATGGAAGGGGCAGGCCAGTCATGATTTTAGCCAACAAACAGATTCAGTGGCTGCCTGGCTCCAAAGCCCCCAGCTACCTGGGGCGAGAGCTGCCCTGAGCTGTGTGCAGGGAGTTAAGAACATCCCCAATCTGCTCCCTTTGTGGGACAAAGGAGTCTTTCCCCCTCGGCACCTCTCAGAACAGAGGAGGGCCGGGCACAGGAGCAAGGGCTCCCACCTCTGCCCGGGGGCGTCTCAGCCCTGGGACGGCAGCTGGAGGTCAGATGCAGACAGCCTCGTTTGGCCAGTTCTGTTCAGTGATTCTCTGGGGAGGGGGCACGTTACAAAACAGCTCCGTGGACAACTTAAAATGGAGGGGGGGAGTGAAAGGGAAGAGGGTTCCAATGTCAGCACTTTGGTACAGGGAGGGGTTTCTACAGTAGCCACTGTCTGATTTGCGCTCTCAGGGTTTGGCCTTGGGAAGGGCTAGTCCTTCCAATCCTTCTTAATGGTCAGGTTCCACTCCCAGGACAGGTGGTCCGTCTTATCATCATCTGTGAATTTGGATTTGATGTTGTAGCTGCCCCGGGCCAGCATGCCCTTCGGAGCCTCTTCCATGGGGGTCAAAAACTCGTACTCTTCTGCTCGGGGGCCGTAGCTCCCAACCATGTATTCAGTCTTGTCAACTAGAAGGAGAAAGAGGTAGGTGGAAACTGCAAGAGACCACCCTGCATTTGGGGCAATACTGAAGCACACGAAAGGGCTGTTACTGCCACAGCCATCCATAAAAACACACAGACCCTACGAGAACAACCCTGTCCCCTGCATTAACAGCTTCACTCGTTCCCAAAGCCGTTCCTTGGGCAGGAGGCAGCGCTCCCACACCAGCGCTGCTGCATGTGCAGAAGGGCCCCAACAGCGAGCATGATCAAGCGCAGAGGAGCGGGCACAGGCTGCCGCACGGCAGCAGCTGCACAAGAGCCTGCAGCGCTGCAGCAGCGGGCACGACCCGCCTGCTTCCCACCGCTGACCACCTCCTCCCACGCGGAGCCACCGGGGACGCGGCCCCCGCACCGCGCAGCAGGCAGCCCTCACACAACGCAGCACCGAGGCGCCGCGCAAGCACTTACTTTTCACTCCTTTTCGGAACGTGTGCTGGATATACTTCAACCCTGACACAATCTCCCTGTTCACCTGTGGGAGACAAGCAAGGACTGTAGAGAACAGAGAGATCCTACACACAGCCCCCACCACTCCTCGAGACAACTTCCATTATCCCACCAGTTTGAGGGCTCAGGCATTTCCTGTACTGGAACTGCAAAATCGGATGTTGCAAAGTTCCTTGGTTCTTCACTTTTCAGACCTGAGTTCTTACCTTAAAGGAGATCTTTATCCGGTATTCCACACCCTCCTTCAGCACAAACGCTTGCTTTTTGTAGCTCTCCAGGTCACCTGGAAAGAAGGGAGAGTGTTGCTCAGAGTGCAACAGACTGATTCAGCTTGCAAGGGGTCATTAAACAGAGTCTGCAATGGCAGAGGATGGGTCTGCCCCTTACTGCCATTTCTCCCACTTATTCTCCCATTTTTGCAACTGCAGACCCCCCTCGCTACCTGACACAGGCAGAGGATGCTGTGAAAAAACTACCTCATGACACGGCAGCTCCACTGCTAACTGGAGCACGACCCCTTGGAAACCTTTGCTCCGAGGAGCAGCCCTTGGAGCTGCCCCGCGAGGCACAGGTGGGAGGGCGGCCGGCAGCTCAGGCGGCTGCAGACCAGCCCAGGCACTCGGGGGGAAGGAAGAGCTTTGCGGGGTGGAGGTGCCCATGTCCCAGAACCCTCAGGCAATCTCTCCTGCGGGCAGGAAAGCTCGACTGCCACCCCGCAGAGCTTCTGAAGACTCTGCATCAACCGCGAGGAAGGGCTGCTGCTCCTGCCTAGCTCACCTGTCAGGTCCAGCTCCAGAGGGCCAGGAGCAGTTGCACAGACCAAAGTTAGTTTGGTCACCACCACATTTGGAGCATTAGGATCTAGGAGACAAACAAGAAGTCTATTAAAAACTCATCCCCAGCATCAACCCACACAGCTCCTCACTTCCTTCCAGGGCAGCTTTTGAAAAAGCAAGGACCCCAGTGAGGACAACACTCAGCTCAGCAGAGGGCTGGGCTTCCCCTCGTGTTACGTCCAGCACACAGTCCCTTCCATCACAGAACAGCTCCCTCCCACCCAAATCCTGCTGCTTTATTGACAGGGCCAGAGGTTCAGTGCTGGGGGAGGACAGGCCCATGCCTCGGAGCTGCTGGCTGCACTCGTGCCCAAGGGCAGAGCTGGGATGAGAACAGCTCCCCGGCAGCAGCAGGGATAAGGCTGGAGGTGGCAGAGGGAGCGGTGGCTCCCACAAGGCCCCGCCAGGTCCTGGGGCTCACCTGCGCTCACAGTGACAGCGCCCAGCAGCGCCTCCTTGTACTTGCGCAGACTCTCATCATCCTTGTCCAACTCCTGGATCTCCTGGATGCTCTTCTGGGCTGGCGGCTTGTAGTTGACCGAGTGTTCATCCTCCTCGTTCTCAGCTGCAATCTGGGCCAGCTGCTCCGCCGTTGGCTCCTGCTCTGCCATCTCCAGGCACACGAGTTACACTGCAGTGGGAAAGAGAAGCGTAACTGCATCAGCCTCCCTGCAGCAGCGTGGCCTCCTGCACGAGCGGGGCCTTCCCGGGACTTCGTGCCCAGCTCCATGGCTCGCTCTGGAACCTGCAGGGGCACCTGCCACCAAGGGCCCTTCCCGCTGCCCACACAACCTCCAGCAGATCAGGACTCACTCAGCCCATTCAGACCCATGCAAGAGGGTGGAAAAAACTCAACCTCCACAGTTTGTTTACAAGCTAGAGCAGGTTAATGACCCAAGGCAGAGAGAAAGCATTCTCCTTCCAACACCAAAACAGGGGGCTGGAGCTTCCACTCGTAACAGAGCTGAGCCCAGAATAACCCTGCGTCAGTTCTGCTTCCCTACAACGCACGAGTCCAGCTAAGAATAGGCACCTGCCCCACTACTGGCCAAGCCTCGGGAGCCTCTGCTCCCTCGGCAGTTTATAGCTCAGAAAGAGGGAGATCAATCCGCTCCGCGCCGGATGCCTCCGAGGGGAGGAATGAGGCACCTAGCCCATCCGATTCCGCTCAGGCCTTTCCAGAGATCCGTGTCACACCAGGTCGGCGAAACACAGCTAACGGGTTCAAAACACTTGGGTGGCTTGGCTCAGCCGCTCAAGTCCCCAGATGCACCCGAACAAGGGAAAAAGCAGCTGCGTATGAAGGGCTGGTGACAGGCGATGCCGACACCCCATTAAAGACCTAGGTTAAAGCCAATAATATTCCCGAATAACCCTTCACGTCCCCCAAGGGCCATCCTATGGCAAATACCAACTGCTCCACAGACTTCACAACCTCCCTCGATGACAACAGCTTCTGAGAGGCCTTTTGTACAAGCAACATCCTTCACAAATGATATTTCTACCATCACCTGGCATTCCCACACCCCGTTCACTTTTCCTACATCAAATTTGCACTGGCATACACAGCTCTGAACTGAAAACTGTATTGTCTGTTCTTGCATTCCAAATAAAGCAAAACCTACAACATTCACTGCACACAACACAGGCAATACTCAAACACAAGCTTACAATCTAGATGCACTTCCAAAAATACAGAAATACATCTAGAAATGGCAATGTGCTAACAAACAGCTAGGTCCACAACGAAAGCCTGTCACACAGGACACGCTAAGCCAACCGCCACCTTTGAGCTAATGACACAATAAGACACAGTTCAACTACTCCTTTTCTGTTTGCCGTGCCACCCAGAGGAGGAAAGACAAAGCTCAGGGCTGCCACCCACCGTACGGCCCATACAGTGCACGCAGGGTGACGCGCGGCAAGTGTGCGATGCTGGAGCCCGTCTGACTCCATCTCCAGGATGAGTCCAGCTACAGTTGTAACAGCAGAAGGCTGCAGGGGCCATCTGGGCTGCACTAGTATTTTTAGCCTGAAGTTTTATGAACATTTTGTTAGAGAACAAAACAAAGTGACGTTTTGCACATCTCCACTGGAAGAGGAGGCTACAGCAGACTTGCCAGCAACATTCAAATGGAAAAACTGAACAAAAACCTGACGACTCTTTCTGCCAAGGGCTGAACACTGGCATCGACTCGCAGGGAGGCGCCGCTGCCGCGGAGCAGCTCGTGCTGCTTGAGCTGCTCGCACTGCTCGCGCTGCAGGTGGGAGCGCAGGTCTCTGCTGCCCCACACACGGCGACCTGCCCTGCCGGGAGCTCTCCGGTCACTGCCGCAGCTCGGCCAGGGCAGCGTCTCCGGCGTTTTCAGGATCCCCAGGGACACGCTCCACAACCGGCCTCGCCATCTGCTCCAGGGTTCCACTGCCCTCAGCAAGTGCTTTACTTTGCTCCCGCGTCTCAGTGTTGACCGGCTCTGTATCACCAGACAAGCAAAGAGGGAAGAGGACGCTCGGCTACCTGAAAGGGCTCTGGTCCCGGCGGCTGCAGGGGGGTCTGTGCCGGGAGCTCTTCCCACTTCCCTCCACGGCCAACACCAAGTCACCCGCATCAAACGGGACACTGCGAACCGCTCGTCTGCAAGGACCGGTCAAAACCCCGGCGCTGAACAACGAAGGAATTTACATTCAGAGGATCATTTTATCTCACATCATATGTGCAACCCTGGTGCGCTCATATCAAACCCAGTCACTCGCTTTGGACTCGTCTCCAGAAACGCTGCCAGCCTCTGTGTCTCCAGGGTGGGAAGCACACATTTGCTCAAGCATCCGTTCTCATGTTCATCTCCCATTGCCTCCAGGCCAGGCTTCACCTGCCAAACCCTGCAGCGTGTTCTCTCTGCACACCCTGATGATCTCGTGGACACGTCTCCTCCAACAGCTGCAGCCTTCAGGAAACAGAGGCGACTGATGACCACGAGAGCCTGCCACAATGGGAGTCTCAAGCTACAGCCCCTCCTGACTCCCAAACTCTCTATTACGACGAAACTCCTTTAACAGGGATGCAAACCAAGGCAGCTGCAGTGCTCCCAGTTCTCTTCCCAGGGCCACGCACACGACTAAGGAGCCGCTGGCGCCTGCACAACCCGCAGAGCGCGGGGAGTTCTCCACGCACAGGTGCTGTGGGTGCTCGTCCCGCACTGCCCTGGCTCAGACAGCTGTCCCCTCCCTGCGCAGCTGCCCAGGCACAGAGCTACACCCGCTGCTCAGCCACTCCAGGTGTAACAGACGGGGCAGCAGTTCCCTACCACACATCTCCAGCACCCAAACACCAGCAGCTCCATTGCAGGAACCCGCCTCGCAAACAGATTTTTAGCAACAACTGTGCCTCAGATGGCACAGAAAACAGAAACAGCCTCGCAGTGCTTTGCTTTGCCTCTAAGCTTAATTCTGTGCACAAGAGCTAAAGAAATCTTTGTGACTTGTGGGGAATCTGCACATGACCTTACAAACCATGGGAGCCCACCAAAGACGGCAGCCAGCTCTTCGAGCTATCCGCAGTCAGCTGAGGAGGTGAGAGATGCTGCAACCAGTAGCGCCGGCCAGGGCATTTCCAGTCCGTCTCTAAAGAAGGACTGGAAAAATATCCCTTCAGCCCTTCCGAGAAGCATTCCCAGGCGCAGCAGCAGGGAGAGCGGGGCCGGGGCGGTGCTGCCGCCGAGCGGAGCGGGGCAGCCCGGCCCGGCCGGACACTCCCAGCGGGAGCCGCGCGGCTCCTCCCTGCGTTTCATAACCTCGGGTCACAGCTCCTCGGCTACTCCTCCGAGCACTGAGCCAGACAGGAAGGAGACTCCCAACAGCAAAAAACTTTTCCAAGCTCCTCAGCCTCGCCCCTTCAGGCTTTTCACACAAAGCATTTCTCTCAGCTCAGAATTGGTAAAACAGAGCCCTTCCGGGTGCACGGAAGGCTGGTACCGGAGCGCCAGGCAAAACAAAGCCCGGGGATTCCTGGGGAGAGGGGGCCACTAATCCTACCCACCCGGTGCTGCGACCACAGTAGCCGCATCGATGCGCAGAGCTCGTCACAGAGAGGCAAAGATGCAGGTGACGGACGGGACCTGCGACGCCAGGTCCTTCCGAGCGCCCAGCTCCGTCCTAAGCAGGGCTTCCCCCAGGCACCGCCGACCTGCAGCTGGATGTGGCAACTTGTTAACTCAGGAATTTGAACCTAAGGCGTTGCCCTGGGGTGCTTAGAAGGGAATTCCTCTCCAGCTGCTTTGGAGCCTTGGGAGATGCTCACGCGCCCTTCCCTATCAGCAGCTCCCCGGCTCTTCAAACACAAGCGGCTTGCGGCGCGTTGGGGCTGGCGCCGCCCTGCGACATGCAGCTCATTCCCGCTAGGGCCTGGGATCTGCGCGAGGTGCCGGCGGGACGGGGCCGCCCGGGCTGCTCTGGGCCTGAGAGCAAGCACAGCAACAGGCTCCAGGAGAGCCGCAGAGGCCGCTCGGGCCTTCGGGGCCCTCGCACGCCTGCAGAGGAGCAGTGCCCACCACGAGATTCTTGATCAGCAGCCTTCACTGCTCCCTGCAGTCAGCCTGGATCCCCTCGGTATTCCCACAGTGCAGAAGCACGGAAAGCGAGAGCCTCACCTCCTGCCCAGGAAACAACACTGGGAATGTAACCCCAGGGCTGGTGTCACGCAAGCTACGGCAGAGAGCGACTTCTTCACAGCCTGGGCTCAGGATCCCAAGGCGTTAGGGATGCGCCCGAGCAGCCACAGCCACCTGGTGGCAGCGGCACCAAGCAGGCCCAGCCTTCCGCCTTCCCCCGCGGCAAAGGGCGAATTGTGCGGCCGCAGGGCGAGCGCAGGGGGAACCGATACCGCCAAGAACCGTTTCCGGGAGGTAAGCTTCTCACCAGTCGGTTCCCTGACCCAGTTCACTGAAAGCTGTGATCGCGGGGAGCAAGAGCCGCGCGGAGCCACTCGAGCAGCAGTCCTGCAGCAGGCGGGGGCGAGCGCTGCGGGCCCCAGCGCTGCTCCCGCGCACAGCGCTGCTCCTGGGCAGCGGCGCGGGAGGCAGCACCGCAACCGCCCCCCGGGCACCAGGACTCGCGGGCGCTGCCCAGGAGCTGCCCCCGCTCAGCGGCTCCCCGGGGCCCGGGACGGCGCCGCTGCCCTGCGCTCCGCGGGGCCGCCCCGCGCTCCCCC